TTAAGCATTTATTAACATTCATTTCAACTCGTAGAAGTTCAAAAATAACTAAAATGCCTTTTTTTGACACTTTTAATCCCAAATATCTTGAAAACCAGAGCCAATTTAACAATTCTAAAGAAAAATTCTTAGACTACGCAAAAAATTCTTAAATTTCAATGAATAGATAATTATATTTCACTTGTTATCAACCGCGGCAGCCATATCGATCGCTTGCTGGAAGAACTTCATAACTAAAAAACGACTTTGAAATTTTTCAACAAGTATAGTTTTAAAATTTAATCCAGAGAATATAGTTTCCATCAAACCTTACTTTGATCAATGAGGGATCGTTTTACTTTCATTTTTATGACGGCTATTCTGCATACATAGCCCAAAAAAAAAAGTTCTTCCAGCAAAGGAAAGGACCTGTGGACCTTTGTAATTACTTTAGTGTATGTGTAGTTTATGTAATTTTTCACAATCATGGCTTTTTAGAGATGATTTAACAGATATAAGAAAGGTTAACAGATAAAGTTTTTTACGAAAACACATTCTGAGTTTTTTACACCACGATTTTAAAACGAAAATTATGTTTTGTATTGGCATGAGAAAGCAAATTATGTTAAAATAAAGTTGGAAAAGTTGAGAACTGGATCGACATAGAATCGATGTGGGGGGATTATGTTGAAGTAATACATTTTTATTAATATTCTTTATACTTACTTACAATCCTCTGAAGTCCTACAGCTAAAGCATGCACACAAATAAAAACCAAAAACTAAAATATGACAGAAGCAAACTTCACTCTAATTCTACCATCAAAAGACACTGAACAGCTCAGAAAACTACATACATAAGTAAAGTCACATTATTTTACGCAAAACAGCGCAAGATTTCAGCTACGCCTGAAACTAACAAAAACAAGCAACAAGAATAATAACAACCATACTCAAATATCATTGAGTCGAAAAGAGATATGTAATGTAGTACATACATATGTACATACATATATGTGGCTTGATGACTACACTATAATTCATCATAAGAAAATTTCCACTCTGCATTTGTTTTCTCTCTTTCTTTCTTAAAAAAATGAATCTTACCAAAATATGCTTTTTGAGCAAATAAAAAATAAATATGATGCCAAGAAACAAACACACACACACACCCAATTTTTGTAGTTGTTGTTTTTTTTCACTATTTACCTGGCAAATTGTTAACATATCCGCCATCCAGCAGGAGATGCCCGTCTTTTGGATCGCACAATGGCGGCATATAGCCGCTGAGCGACATAGATGAACGTATATAACGCCAAAGAGATCCTGTTTAATTTAAGTGTAACGGTATAATGTGTGTGCGTAAATTTTTTTAGATGAATTCGAGTTTATTGGAGCGAACGTATGGATGCTTAGTGGGGATTGGGATAATATATGTATGTGTGCAGGCGATGCTAAAATAATATATTTTTTTCTTAAATTTTACGCCAAAATTAATTCATACAGCCATTAAGGGACATCACATCAAGACATTAATTGAATTTGTTTTAAACAATAAAAAGTGATTATGTATTTTATTATGTGGTTTGTTTTTAATGTCAACCAAATATTATAAGTCGCTTTTAAATTAAATATTTTCGAAATATGTATGTATGTATGTATATGTGATGAAGGTAACAGCTTCTTTTTACCGAAAAATCGTGTTACAAAAATTCCAAATATCCACGTAAATAATTAGTTCCTTATATTTGGTTATCATAAAATGCTACAGCTATTCAGTATTATCGACAAATAAATTTACCAGTTACAGACTCGGTAGATACAATTTAGTGTAGTTGAGTTTTTTTTTTTACTAAGGCTTGACCAATTTTCACTAATTTACGCACATACATACACATACGTATATGTATGTATTAGGGAGGAACCCATTTAGTTTGTTCTTCGTACAAAATAAAGACATTCACGAACATTTCAACTAAAAAAATAAGAGGTCCCAACCAGGGTTTGATTTTTTGTTTTTAAATCACAAAAATTCGACAAAAGTTTGACTTGAAAGCTGATAAATTTGGCATATTATTCAAATATGTTCATATACATTCCTAAAATCGCTGAGTAAAAAAAAAAAATTAATTCTTTAAAATCCTGGTAGCGACCCCTTAAAAATTTGTTCAAAATGTTGTGTTTTATATGTAGAACCAAAATAAATGGATGCCACATGACGTTGATATTTTAATGACCGCCCTATTATGAATACATATATGTACGTATCGCTCATTTCATTTCAATAGTGACATAATCCAAAAAAATATAAATTTTTAGTTGAGTATGCAGAGAGTACCGCTACATCTTCTTCTATGTTGTGTAAAAATTTCATAGCTGTATCGATTACTAGTGCCTCACTAGAAAAAAATATGTATTCATTTTTACTATGGGAGTAATAACTGTATATCGACTGCTGAGTGGAAGATCGGTTCAAAAACGCCCTATCTCACTTCAAAATGAAAATGTACTGACATAGGGCGTTTTTGAATCGGCAGCTGAGATAGGGCGTTTTTCGAAACGAATTCTGAAATAGGGCGTTCTTTAACCAAATTTTGAAAAGTTGTTTGAGATAGAGTGTTTTCGACCTGGCTGCCGAAATAGGTCGAATCTTCCACTCAGCAGTCGATATGTGAATTGAAAACTTTAGAGCCGTTTTTCCCGATTTTGTTTTTTTTTTTTTTTAAGTAAATAAGCGACGTGTAATTATGTTACTTCTTACGACATATGGTTCAACCAGCCACCAACGTATCAACATATCAAATTGCTGCTGATAGAGAGAGGCAGAAGCAACGGCAACGTCACCGTCAAGCGGTAGTAAGTTTTCGTTAACACGAAAATCCCATAAGGTAGGTTGTATCAGCCGATATGGTCTACGATTTTACGTCGGTGGCTGGTTGAGCTCATAGCCTGTTCTTCAAAGCCATAATGTAATAATAAAAGGTGTCGTCAATAACTTAACCTTACTTTTTCGGGACGCCTATGCCGGCAACGCATTATAAGGTAGTAGAAAATGTACTAATTATTTCCTAATTTTACCCATTTGTGCATATTACTTCAAAACAACTACATATATAGTTACGGAGTTTCAAGTATGAATATGTGTTTTTGTTAAGCTCCACACTAATAGGACTAAAAAAAAAAAGGAATCGCAAAATGAGGCAATTTCCTAGAAGGCTTGTAATGATTTTTTTAAATAGATTAAAACACATAAATACTACAAATATCATTGAATTCTTTATTTTAGCAAGTAATCACTTTAGTGCATCAACTGTTCATTTAACTTAATACTATGATAATGTAGCAAAAGTTATTTAATATTAAAAATGCCTTTCCATACGATTTTTGTTTAAGTCTTTGGTAACCACGATATCTTTTATTTACTAACATTTTGTTGACAAAAATTTGACAAATCCAGCAATTTTAATTATTAATGATGTTATAAAAGCACTAATTTCTAAAAAAAAAATCGCGATGAAACGAGTTACTAAAATGTAGTATTTTAGATACTATTTTCCTAAATAATAGTAGTATATAAAGGAGAATAGGCAACACTGCAAATAAGCGTCTCGAACTTGTCAAAATTACAACAAACACGTCGCTACTGACGATACCTTTTATTATTACACCATGCCTCATAGCAGTGTTGGGCGTTAATCAATTAATTTTTCAATTATCTTGTTAATTGTTTAAAAAAGTTATTAACAATTAATTGTTAAATGCTACCGTACAATTTAATACGATTTTTTCTATTAAATGAATCAAAAGCAGCATTTTTTAAAAACATCCTCAATTTAGAAAATATTCTTAAACATTTTTTAAAATTATTATTTTTTTTTAATTTAATATGAAAACTGAGTATGTTTACAAGTCATGCAAAACTATGTATGTACATGTATCGATAAATATTAATCTACTTTACTAGGATTTTGCATACAAAATGGCGGCATTTTATATTTATTTTTTTTTACTATTTCTCGAAGGAAAGCTTTCCTTTTCACTGTACGTGAAGTTCCAACGGCTTATCAATGCGTTATGCTAATATAACAAGATATAGGCATACAACAGAACTATGACGTATAAAATATCGGAATGTAAAAATCTCAGAATATGTCAAACATGAAAATCTTATATAAAGTGAGTTCTGCCAATTTTTCACGATTGAAACATAAGTAGTCGCACTTAGGTCTTCTGGTTTAAATAAGATGGTGGGATAAAATTTTACATCAAATATATATTTTTTTTAACGCAAAAAAGACTTTGCAATAAAAACTTTAAAGAAAAATAATAACCGCATACAAACACAAAAATTAAAATTAAGAAAAAAAATTATAAAGAAATGGGAAACGCCAGCGCTCACATCCTACTTGTGTTTGCGAAAGCCACTAGAAACTTTCATAAATATTTATATTCTATTTGTGTTTAGCATGAAATGATGGTTAAAGAGGGGAAGCGCGCGTATGTAGAAGCAAAATCAACTTACCATTTGTGTGTATGCGATGGCAGCTTGCGGTAATATCAGTCGTTAGTGTAAAATACGGAATCCATAAATCCTCAATGGCCACATCACCGAAGGTATCACGAATGGTTTTGTTGAATTCACGTCCAGAGAACATCGATGTAATTGGATAAGTGAGATCGAGCAATTGCAGGAACCATTTTGTCATTTTCTGCAAAAAAAAAAATGCAATGCAAAGCAAAAGTAAGTTAATTAGTTTAATTATAATTGTTTTTAATTGTTGCAGCAACTACACACCTTTGACCATTCCCGAGCCTTCTGTGTAACGGCTGTTACATTACGGTCCGAACACCAGAGTGCACCCATTAGCGCGCCAATGCTAACACCTCCCACCATATCTACCGGTATACCAGCTTCTTGTATAGCCTTTAACATACCGATATGTGCAGCACCGCGTGCACCGCCGCCACCTAAAACTAACCCGATTGAGTTACCAGTCAGCCAACGTGCCAGGCGCGAACAATCCGAATGCATATTTGGCTCGGACATTAATACACGGCTGTACAGATCGTTCTGTGAGATATAAAAAAAAATTTGATTGTACATTTTTTTGTATGTAAATAAATCTGTTGATGCTAGCAGTTTCACTTACAATGCGATATTGACTTTTGCGCGTGAACATGCGCTTAGGGCACTGCAAATGGTGATGTTTGGTGACCCAGGGCCTGACATTCAGCCATTGCAGTGTATTTTTCGGTTTCGCATTAATCGACTCGTGATAAAGCAGTACGAGCTCCTTTTGTGTGCGCATTGCCAAACGATCGATTTCTCGTTCAAATTTACCAACGATTGGCGCATGATCACCAAGTCCCACGATAAGTACGACGTCCGCTTGGCGCATGCAACGTTGTGTCCAAGCGCTGAGAGAAGAGTCACACTGATATAGAGTGATGGTATTGCGATCTTCCTGCTGCGCTAGCCAAGAGGTCATACGATATTCGTTGCTGGGTTCGAATATGTGCATGCCGAGCTGTTTGCGAACCACTTCGGATGTTAGACG